TATCTTTGCAGGGATAAACTATCCATTCATTTATAAAACATTGATTAAAAAAATAGCTAACATTCCAGATGGATGAATAATTTCCCCTGTTCCCTATATGTCTGCCACATGAGCACGGCCACCGATCTTACAAACAACTAACAAAACTGGTTAGAGGCTTCCAGAGCTCCAAAAATTAACTCTGGATGAAGCAAAACCAAAGTAAGCACAAAAAGGACTTAACACATTTGGGCTATATTTAAAGAAAAAAAAAGAAAAAAAAAGTAAAAATGGACTAGTTAAGTCTTGAATCATAATTTTCTTTTAAACCATATGTACCCCAATACAGTGCTGCAACTGAGATATATCCATGGCAACATGAAAACACACATAGGGGCTCTCTCTATTTAATAGCTTTGTAACGCTTAATGTTTGAAATTATAGAGCAGGTCAATGTTTAAAATTATGAGGAAGTTCAATACATAAAACCCAAACAAAAGAATATCCTAAACTAACCTAAATATCCACAGCCCCTTCTTACACCCCAATAGTTTAAATGTTTTTCATCGATCCATTAAATTGGTATTTCACATACTTTCTCTTCAAAGCAATTGATCGTAACACAGTGCCTCTGCCAGTACTTTATTATGTGTGAAAGCAGCAGCCTGGGCTGAATTTTATCTCTAATTCAACTCTTTTCTGAATGAGCAGCTGACACAAGGAAGGCTTACTGTCAGTATCTAGGAGACATTTTGACTTTGGAAACCATTTTCTCTCTGCCAGACACTTGGTTCCAGCTGGCTGAGACACGATTGATTCTCCAGTCTTGCAGCAAGGACAGGGGTCTGCCAAGCTGGACAGTCCCTGTGCTGAGGTCCTGACCGGGGGGGACACTTCCAGTCCCTCACAGCTGCTCTGTACCTTCCCTTGCTTCCTGACAGAGCAGCCCTGCTCTTCACACTTGTGCAAGGAACCTGGTGTAGATGCTCAAGTTGGATCTGGATTGCAGGGTAGCTGCATGTGCAGTGTGACCCATGGCTACAATTCCACACATCCAAGTCTGCATCCCTGTCAGGGCACGCTAGAGATGCCTTCTGCCAGTGCAAGCAGGTGTCCTTCCCTAGAAAACCAGGGTGTAGGATGAAAGGAGCTGGTGCACTGCAGGGTCTCACCCACCTGGGCCATAGCACAGCTGGAGCACACACCCAGACCTGAACAGTGCTGCTGGGTCCTGCAGTTTAGGCACAAGAAAGGGGACCCCATCCCTTCCAGTGCTCTTGGCATTTACCTACCTGTCTCTCTTTAGGTGTAGCTCCTGTCCTCTGTAGTACACAGGGTTTTGGTCTGGAAGCTCTCACCCCTCCAGAGCTGAGCACTGCTTCTGACTTCCCAAGTCCCAGTGGGTTCAGCACTGCCACATCAACTGTCCCAGCTACTCAAACCACCTCCTCTCTCCTGCTCAAAGCTTGCTTGTTCTGCATGTGCAGCTCCAAGTCAGTTGTTGGTACTCTCTACAAAATCCTTACTTTCCGTTCTGCTTTAGCCACATTTCCAAACCTCATGCCCCACACAAGGAGTAAAATGGCTCTCCTCCACACCATTAGCCTTAAGGATGATCTTCATTCTGAACTGGGGAGGGCTGTGCTAAGGCCACCATCAGTCACAGAGGGATTTCATACACCCCACTCCCCCAGCTTTCATTATGAGCTGCACCCAGGTGCACCACAATCCTGTTATTAACCTACACACACTTGCCACTTGGCAGTTCAGTCCTCAGCAGTTTGGTTCCTTCTGACATGTTCCCACAGGAATATCAGCATTCCAAACAGCTGATTCTAGCCAAGACCAAACGTATGGCAGATCCTCAGAACAGCTCAGATTTGTGTTCACAAGATTTGTGTCAGAAACAGGCATTCTAGAAATGTGCCCACAAAGAGTGCATGACTGACTTTTACCTCCTCTTACTCTACTGCTCCATAACTGAAATGTAGGATAGACATTTGCATAAGTTAAACCAACAATTATTCTGATAATAACTGCAGCTTAAAAATCCTTAAACTTCACTGACATTGCTGGGGACCTCAGTGGAGCAAAGACAGTGGCACCCAGCCAGCAGGAAGGCCAGCAACATTACCATGCTGAGATCAAAAGAGTTATTAACCCCGAGTCCTTGATCTGCTGAGTGCATTTTGGCTATTTCAAAGCCCCACTGCAACTTCCTGGCAAAAAAAGCTCCGCATTTGCTCAGAGCATCTTCTTTTGTAGATGCAGCTGAGGAATGAAAAGGGCATTGGAACCCTGAAGTCTACATCCACCTCTTTGGAGAGACATATGGACATGAAATACCTGAAACTCCAGCACCCTCATGCTCTGGAAGCACTCAAATGTGATCCTGTCTCTTGCTCTGTTGCTTTCCTGCCTCCACTGGCTGCCTGCTTCTGCACATGAAGAGATCATCTGCACCCAGATTCACTGCTCAGAACCCCATCCAGACACACTGCAGGTCTACCAGGCAAAGGAATTGTGGAAGATGAGGAGAGTCTTCTCACCTTATGTCCACAAGGTAGACAGCAAAGAAGAGCCATGGCAGAAAAGGAAATATTGTATAAGTAAAAGTATATTCTGTATTTTTCAAAAGCAGAGTCATTTTTCCAGACTAAAAGGGTGAAATACTGGAAGTCAGAGGTATTGTTACCACTGCCCAAATGCGGCCACGGCTCTCAGCACATCTGTAAATTTCCTTTTAGACTCCTTTGATACTACCCACCCATAGTAACTTAAATGAAACACCTTGAGAATTTTTCTTGTTTGTACATTTAAACGATCACTAGGCTGTTTTCCCCTTTCAGAGGAAAACGTCACATTTCCCTTAAGCTTGGTCATTTATCAGCTCTTCTCCTTTTTCTGTAGGACGGCTATTCTCTTAAAGATGTGGTTCTCAGCTTCAGACAAAATGGATGATGTGTCTGTTTGAAATAGGATTGTTTACTTTGTCAATGCCCCTGGGATCAATTTCATTTTTTTTCTGCCTCCTCCTATAGAGAACGTTTTGCCAAGTGCAGTATTCATCTCCCTGAATGAGCTATCGAGATCTATTTTTTTGACAGAAATCATGCTGCAACCCAAACTGATCAGAATCTCTCACTATTTCAGAAGCATGCATGGGTATGAATAATATAGAATCTTATCTGGCACAATTTCAGCATTTCTCTTATAATTTCTCTTTCAAGTAATCTACTTGCATGAGAAAATTATACACTTGTAGTTTTAACACCAAAAATAAAAAGCAGCACACGTTCCTCCTGGCTGGTTGCTCATACATGTCTGAGCACACACTCACAGGCACAAAATACAGGAGCAACACTGCAACATCCCCATCGTACTGAATCCACCCTGAGCAGCTTCACTAACCAGACAACTCACACAGGCAAGATCTGCCCATAAGCTGCTGGAGAATGAGGTTTTAATTGGAGATTTATTTAATTCAGAGACAAGTACTTGTGTTGTATTAAGAGCAGCTTATTAACATTCAATCATGAACATTCACTAAGCATGAATAAATAAAATTCAGCGCAAAAACGGTTTTTTAAGCGCTGGAAGAGGAAGCATTCACCTAAACTATCACCTTGCTCAGGACAGGAGGGGCTGGACACCAGGGAATGAAATGCTGTCCAGGCATTGTGTTGGGTTCTCATACTTGAGCATGTCTCACTATCAATCATGCCTGAAGCAACAGCGCTGAGACTTCCCAAAGCTCCCGTTATTGTCTTGTACGCTCCTCGGCATCCGAGCCAAATCTGAAGTGCAAATAAATCATCAGCAAAATTTTTAGATAAGAATTTTTAAAACTACATCTGTTGGAGGAGACAATCCTCTGCCTGCCACCCCTGCATGATGCTGATGACAAGTCTAGGTTAATCACACAGATGATGAATTGATTCTTACGTCAACTCCTTTAAAAACAACATCGTTACAGGTGTAGCAGCTGGCGGACTGATGTATTCCTGCTGGCATCTGCACATCTTGGGATGAGCCACTAGACAAAGGAGCATGCCGGCATTTTGAGGGATGCAACCATGACAGTCAGTGTTAAAATATGCTTTAGTTACCAACTTTTTATTATTTGCCACTCACAAGACTCGCAGGTTCAGTCTCTGGTACAGTGTGCACTGGGAAAAACACCCCTCAATTATCAGGGAGCCGCCGGGAATGGACAGAGGGCTCTGGGCTCTCCGACCGCTCTCCATCCACTCCCGCGCACGCCCTCCCTCCCTCTCTCCCTACCCACGCAGCGGCTGTGCTGCCCTCTACTCCCAGCACCTTCCCCAGCACCCACCACCCTTCCTCGCCCCTTCAACCCAATGCCTTGCCTACTTCTCCCTACCAGTGCCCCTCTTTTTTAAGCTTGGTGTCATTTTATGACCACCACCAACTGTCTGAGGCCAGAAAGGTCTTTCTGATGCCGGCAAAAAAAAAAAAAAAAAAAAAAAAAAAAAAAAAAAAAAAAAATCACTGCATCCATTCTGAAAGGCTTTTGTTTTGGGATTTACTCTGCCCTCATTTAAACGGAATCCCATTATTCGTCTCTCCAAAAGCAGCACGGTGTACGGCGCTAACAACCCCTGGGAACAATCAGCCCGAGAGTTGATGGTGTATAAATCAGAGCGGACCACACCACCCGGCAGGATGGACGCCTCCTCCCTGAGCTCTGCCCTTCATTCTCACAGAGGAGGATGGAGCGTGAGCCGCTCCATTTGCAAATAACCCGTGTTTCCTATCGATCGGCAGCCGGAGCGTGTTTCACCGCTGGAGCACACTCCCAGTTTCACCCTCCACAGGCACACGCATCCAGCGGTGCCCAGCATCCCTCGGACACCCGCACGGATGAACCCCCGGCCCCGAACCCCCGAAGGGGTCGGGGATGGCGCTGACACGGATCACACCCACCCTCGCCTGCCCACGGCGGACGGACACACAGCCCCGGGAACCACCGCCCCCCGGTGCTCCCCGGCCCCCCGTACCCGCGTCCTCCTCGTCGAAGCTGTTCATGCAGGGGAAGTAGATGGCCAGGGCCTCGAAGGAGGCGGAGAGGCTGAGGCGGCTCTGCGACCGCTCCATGAAGAGCCCGGCTCCGGGGGCGCCGCCGGGGGTCTCGCCCGCGGCCGCGGGCGGCTTGGCGAGCTTGGCCGCCCCATTCTTCACTCGGAGCACGGCCCGCGGCGTCTTGGCGGCGGCGGGGCCGCGCTGAGGCGGCGGGGAGAGGAGAGGAGAGGCGAGGCGGGCGAGGCGAGGTGAGGCAGGCGGGAGCGCGGAGCGGCGCGGAGCGGAGCGCAGCCACCTGCTGCCGCCCGGCCGGCCCTGCGCGCCGCCCGCCCCCGCCCCGCCGCAGCGCCGCCAATCGCGGCCCGGGGGCGGGACGGGCCCGGCGCGGCCGCGCTGCCCCCGCCCGGGCGGCCCCGGCTCCCTCAGCCCCGGGCGGCCCCGGCTCCGCGATCCCCCTGGCCCGGGCGGCCCCGGCTCCGCGATCCCCCTGGCCCGGGCGGCCCCGGCTCCGCGCTGCGCCTGCCCCGCCCTGCCCCGAGCCCGGCCCGGGGAGCCCCGGTTGTGTTCTCGCCTTCCCTGGGCTGGAAATGTCCTTCGCATCCCGAGCATTGGGATAACGCAGGTGTAGGTTTGCTTGTGAATTGATCTGGGAAAGTGAAATTGACAGAAATAGATTTATTTCTGAAATAGACAGAAATTTATTTATTTATTTCTGAAATATTTATTTATTTATTTATTTCTGAAATAGACAGAAAATTTTTTATTTCGCATTTATCCAGCGAGAAAGTGACATTGACAGAGGAGGAGATGCAGGAGGAAGAGTGTGGTCCTGGGTTTGATCTCAGAGTGCAATGGCAGAAAACAACCTTGAAGATTTCAGGTGTAGAACCTTGAAGGTTTCTTCCAAAAGAGAGGGGATGTAAGTGACCCCAGTGTGAATGGAAGAGCAGCCCGGCTCCCAGCCTTCTCTCACGTACCTCTCTTTAGACACATAAAAAAACCCTTCCCAAAATATAAAAGCCACTATTTGGATGTATACAAGCTCCCAGGCAGAAAGCACATAAACCAGGAGGTTTTCCTTGGTGTGTTACATTAAATAGAAAGGCTGGTGCCTGTTGTGGCTCAGCATTAAGCCCATTCTGCAGCACACCGTGGGATAGAAGCTGCTGTGCTCTGTGAAATGAGCACATTTTAGATCCTTCCCCAAGTCACATTTTTTTTCCGATAAGCTTTATGGAGAATTAGTGGTTCAAGACTGCCAGCTGTCCACAGGTGCTGCCTATGGCAGAGACATCACAGCATCTCCTAGTCCTGCTTTGGGGAAGGAAACGCTGTATAGCCTTATTTATTCAGTGCAACAAAACCCTGGGATGCTATTAGACAGAGTGTTTTGCGTGGTCTGCACAAAAAGGTTGCTGTTCCCTCAGGGAACAAAGGAAGATGTTCCTTGTGCTTGGTCTGTCCCCCCATCCTGATAACTAAATGTCACCCCACTGAAATGACAGGCCTGCTTGTGCTAATCCAAAAATGCATATTAAGAGTCCAATATCTCCCTTAGGAAAAGTGTGGCTAAACAACCTGTATTCTCCATTCTCAAACAGTTAATACATCAATCCATTAAAAGTTTTCTGTCTACTGAAAGTCCTACCACAGCTGTATGGTATTTGTGGCCAGTGCCCAGAAGCAGCAGGAGCAGGGCTGCTCCCAGGGAAGGGGTGCCAGGAGCAGCCTCTGCACAGGGCAGGGACAAACCTGTGGCCAGACACAGTCCCCTGCCATGGGAGGCAGAGCAGGACGTGATGGCAGTGCCTCCTATCAACACACCAGCTCCAAAGTCATCCATGGAAAGCCAAACATCAGTTCAGGATCAGGTCTGAGACAGTCTCATCTACAGCCTAGGCAAGAGCTAGAAGCCCCCCAGGCTTGGAGCTTAAATGGATCTCCTGACAGAGGGGGTAAATGTGAGTCCCCAATGAAGGTTTTTGGGGTAATTGCAGCCAGCTAGTGCAGTCAGCCCTGACATCCAGGTTCTTCATTACTGGTGATACATCCAGAATGGCAGAGGTCATATGAATATCAGATACCAAGATGAGGTTCCAGGACTTCCTGAAAGAAAATATGTTATTTAATTCAAAAACTAATCAAAACTTGCTCTGGAGTTGGTGAGTTATATGAATTACTTCATCAAAGCTAGGCTAGGCAGGCAGTAAAGCAGAAGGAACAGAATGAACTTATTACAGACAATGATATCTCCAGGTCTGAGTTTTGAAAGGCAAAGGAATCAGTGAGGAATGTATTACCATATGTTTAAGAAGAGATTTCAATAGCACCAATCAAGGCATTAACAGCAGCTACAGGCACAAATTTAGGTGCATTAAAACTGTTAAGACAGCTCCTGTCTACCGGTCCTGCCAGCACATTTGATCAGAGGAGCAAGAGGCATCTGTGAATCAAAATTTGCTTGCAGGTTGCCAGGCGCAGAAGTTACCTAGAAGTGCTGACAACTGGCTTTTTTTTTTTTTTCATTTAAAGACTGCAATAAAAAATTTAAATGGGGAATAGAAGTTTAATCTCAGCTTTATGCTGTGTCCATCTAAATTGCTTGTTTCACTACATCTTGGAAGCTGTGGGACCAGCCATGCTTGAGTCCTTCCCTGCTCCTGTCTGCCACAGAGTGGCTTGGGCTGAGTGCTCTAAACATCATCCCTTAGCTTTGGTGTCATCTGCTTCTCATTTGACTGCTACATTTTGCTCCTCAGGGCCAGGGCAAATATGTGTCCTGCAGGGCTCTTTGATTATTGGCTGGGCCAAAACTTCCTAAACCAAAACCATCTGTCTTAAAGTGAGCCAAAATGCACTGACAGCTGGAAATGGGATGGACAGTTAAAGGACTAATGCCCTCTGGATGCCTGGAGGAAACTGTTTGTTTTGGCTGCCTGTTTAAGGGAAACAGGGATTTGCAATGAAGCTGGAAATTGTTAATCTCTAAGAGTTCTTCTTTATTGATTGACATGGACAGCAAGATCCTTGGGAGGGACTTGCAGAAGTGAGGATAAACAGGGAGGAAGATTCCCATGATGTTGTAAATAAGCTGAGAGTGCAGGCGAGAACAAATAAACTCCAAGATTTACTGCCTCCAGAGCAGCATGTCTGTGGCTGCCCCAGTGGAAGTGGTTAATTGATTGTTTCCCCAGTGAAGCAGGCTCTGACTGATTGAACCATGGAAAGCTCTGATAGATTTTTCCTGCTGGCTCTTTCTCTTCCCACTAGTCACGTAGCTTATATTTTTGCCTTTATTCTTAGGTGTCTAGGTCAGCCTAGGAAGTTCATTTTTATACTGGAGCAAGAGGATATGCTGCCCTCTCTCTCTTGTACTCCCTGTGGTTTTGTATATGCTTGTTTGGAAATAAAACCAAACTCTCTGTTTTGTGTATGTTTGCTCTTTCTGCTCTCTCTGCCCACTGCTTGCTCAAAAAATAGTCCACATGCTGGGAGCTGAAATGCAGCACAGAAACAAGCCCTGCTAGTGAAAACACATGCATAAATCTGCTCAGAGTAAATACAGCATTCCTAAGGGTGAGGAGGGTTGGGCTCCTCCCTGTCTCATGCTACCCCTTCCCTGCCCTGAGCAAAGCTGATGCTGGAGCCAGGCAGCTCATGGTTGGCAGCACACAGTGTCCTCCAGCACCCATAAACAAACACAGACTTGACCATCCCTGCTCTTCAGGGCTGTAATTGATTCCACTTAGAAGTTCCTCTTGGCTCTTCTGGGCAGGCTGGGGGGCAGGAGGTGAAATGTGCTGAGCATGGATACCCAGAACCAGGGACTAAACAGCAGAGAAGGATCTGTGGTGCCATGGCATGGCATCAGTGCAGGGTGATGCCCAGAGGCACTGGCTCAGGTGCCCAACACACCAAAGTACCACAGCTTCACTGGGTTTGGTTGTTGTACACTTACATAACAATATATATTTTAACTTATTTATTCTTTCTTGCTATGTGTGTAGAGGGAATACTGCAGGCTGATGGCTCAAAGAACCAGGCACAGTATAAATACAGAGTGAAAGCCTTTATAAATACAGAGTGAAAGCCTTTCTCTTCCCCAAGTGCTCACTGTCCAAGAAGCCAAGACAAAGAACAGAAGGAAGTATAATTTTTTTTAATTCAAGTTCAGGGTACAAAGCATATGAGTTTTGGTTGGCTTGCCCAACACTGTATAAGGAAAGTCTCTGTTGGAGCTAGGAACTCACTGTAGATTTCCTGCCATAATCTCAAAACTACCTTCTGCTTTTCACTAATAGAAGAAATGTTCTAACCTTAGCAAAATTAAATTATAAGCCAGACAGGTTTTTACAACATCCTTTGTTGGCTGGGATCCAGGCAAGCCAGGAGTGCTCTGGTTTGTCACAGCTGAAGCACATAATGCCCTAAAGAGCAGCCAGGCTGCTACCTGTGTGGGGCCTTTCACAATGCTCTGCACTTACTTCAACCTGACAGCCCATCTAAAAGCACAGATCCTGTTGTTTTAGTCACATCTCTCTCACGCCCTCTCTAGCTATCAAAAACAAGCCCACAAAGGTGCTAAATGACTGGTGAGACGGAGCCCAGAGGATGAGTAATGAGAGGCTGAGCCGTCAGCCTCGGGTCCCTTGCTAGCCCTGCTGCTTCTCACATTTGTCTAGCCAGGGTTCTCCTGAGGCAAGAGAGCTCAAGGCTGCACAGCACGTGCTGGGCTCTGTTCTTACTGTCGGTATCTACTAAAACTGCATGGGTTCGGCCCATTCAGTGACTTCCAAGCCCTGACAGCAGGAGTTTGGATGGGCTGGACACTCCCATGGGGTATAATAACTCAGCAGACCATCTTCTGCTTCGCTGTGTCCTTCTCAGTGCTGGGGTTTGGGTCAGGCTTTTTTTGGTTCAGCCAGCCAGGATGAGTAAAAGGCTGTTAAATCAGGCTGATTCTCTTCTGATGACTAAAATGCACATCCAGACTGATGAAGTGCAGGGTAGTGGTGATGTGCAGGCACATTGTCTGTTGCAATATTCACTCACGTGTGGAAGGGAAGAGGAAGCAC